TCTTATATTCCTCTCCAGGGCTGGTGGGATTAAAGGCGTGTGCCACCATCCACCCACTATGGCTGACTAGCGTGGTTGCTCTGCACTGATCTTCAGACAAGCTTTATTTATTAAAACGCATATAATATACCACTATAGGATCTAATAATCCTGTCTATGACAAAAAAGGAGGGAAACCAGCTCAGCCAAATGTGTTAGAGCTACTTTTAGGTGATTTTGAAACTGTATCATCAAAAACAAAATACATACAGTCTCTCTCTTTCTCACACACACACAAACCCAAACCAAAGCAAACAAACAAAAACTTTTTCTTCATCCTCTGAGGCATCATGAAACAAAAGAAATTTAAGAATTGTTGTCTCATTTTTGTCCCTCAAATCTTTAATCTCAATTTTTTATCATTTCATTTTTGTCTATTGCTTCCCAGTCTGTTTTGGAGTAGATTTATGACCAGTTTAACCAGTGGTGTTGAATTAAAATTGTATCAATTTTACACGGTGAATCTAAAAAAAATTAATAAAATTTTAAGGAAACAGATCTGTCAATATGGAAGTCAAGTGGCCCTTGTGAGCAATATTTTGTCTTTAAACTTTTACCTACATATTCCCATGTCTTTAAACTTACAAAACCTTATTTTAGGGACCCAAGGGCAGGTCTTTTTGAATGAAAGTAAAGGATTTTTAAGAGCACTTTAGCACATTTATAGGAACTAGAATGCAGAAGTAAACAAAACAAAACCAAGGAAAAATATGCCTGTCTTCATTAGTGTTTCAATTGCTGTGGAGACACCACAACCATAGCAACTCCTGCAAAGGAAAACATTTAATTTTATGGCTTACAGTTTCAGTCCATTATCATCATGACAGGACATGGCAGCACGCAGGCAGACATGGTGCTGAAGAAGGAGATGAGGGTTCTACATCTTGATCCTCAGGCAACAGGAATTGAACTGTAACACTTGAAGAAGCTTGAGCATAGAAGATCACATAGTCTACCCCCGTGGTGACACCCTTCCTCCCATAAGACCACACCAACTCCAACAAGACCACACCTACTCTAAGAAGACCACATCTACTCCAACAAGACCATACCCACTCTAACAAGACCACACCAACTCCAACAAGACTACACCAACTCCAACAAGGCCACACCCACTATAACAAGGCCACACCTCTTAATAGTGCCACTTTGTAGAAGGAGCGGTGGGTCGCTTCCTGCTGCCCGCCTCCCAGCTAGCTTTACCCCTGAAATAATTACACAGAAACTGCATTCTTTTAAACACTGCTTGGCCCATTATCTGTAGCCTCTTATTAGCTAACTCTTACATATTGATCTAACCCATTTCTAATAATCTGTGTAGCACCACGAGGTGGTGGCTTACCAGGAGGATTCTAACCGGCATCCCTCTCGGAGAGGAGAGTCATGGCGACTGCCTCATTGCTTTTTTCCTCCCAGCAACCTGTTCTGTCTACTCCACCTATCTAAGCTGCTGTCCTATCGAAAGCCAAGGCAGTTTCTTTATTAACCAATGAAAGTAACACATAGACAGTTAACCCTCCTCCATCACCACTTCCTTTGGGGGCTATTTTCTTTCAAACCACCACAAGGATCTTAAGAATTTTTCCATCTCATGTTTTACTGCTGATGCTCTCCACTTCTTTCTTCAGGCAATCTCTCTGTCCTGACTTTTAAAAAATTTTCTATATATTATGGCCATATTTACTCTTTTTCTCATATTCAGGTGTCCCTGTTCAGTCACTACTTGACCTGGACCAGTAGGTCATTCTTTGGTGACAGGATCCTGAGAGAGCGGACCAGGAGATCAGAAGAAAGATAATAGAAGATAAAGTTTATTATTAAAGAATCAGAAGGTCTTCCTATGTCCTCTGTCAAGCAATATCTTTTAAACTATTTCCAGGGAAGACATGGGACAGAGTCAGCAGAAACTGTCATACGATAGGACTAAGTCAGAGGGGAGCTAACTAAACAGTGCTGTCTGTACAAGGGGAACATAAGGTATCTCAAGAACATTACAGACTGAACACACAGCAACCTTGGGACTGATAACTCCAGTCTCTTCAGGGGAAAAAGCCAAGTCCCTGGAACAGACTGGCATTGCCAAGTCCACTCCTGAACAAAGAAACAGAACTGGGTCCCTTTTGTCCTTTTATCAGGAGGTCTGAGAAAGTCTTAGATCAGCCCAGATCTCAATCGGGCGGAGTTGGGATGGGGTGGGGGGGCACAGCCTCTGTGGCCAGTGATAATTGCAGGCTGTAAGTTAGTCTGCCCTCTGTCCTCTCCTAAGCCAGGTGGACTGCCACTGTGACATTCAACCATATTATAGAGTAAGTACAGCTGCTGCTCTGGGACCTGGTGGGCTTGGGGAGGTGGGTGGATGGGACATACCTAGGCATGCCTGACCAAGCTATAGTCAAGGACTCCTATGGATGAGGCTTAATACAAACATCCTAAACTTACTTAAAACATTATGAGAAAATTTTTGATGATTTTTTTTCTTTTGTAACGCCATTGCACTGTTAATCTACAAATCTGTCTTGAGCCATTGCCTGCGTTGTCCGGCCTTTCTACGGCCCTGAGTACCACCACTTCTCTTTGCAGTCCATGGCCTCAGCCTCCTAAGTTATCTCTTGGAGGATGTGGGGACATCCTTTAAGGTTGTCAGCCTACTCAATGAGTCTCCCACTTTGACCCATGACTTTTTCCTCTCTGAGAACATTTTCCTATTCTTCCATTCAGAACCACTGCCACGATGAGGATCTTCCCCTTTCTATGCTTGCTGCTCTTCAGCCTTGTGGTGGCCTCCCACCAGCACTCCCGTTTGCTGGGGAAGAAAAAGGCCAAGGTGTCCTCTGTGAGTGCTAGGTTAATTCCCAGAAGTAAGGACTTTGCCTTCAGTCTCTACAGGGCCTTGGCTTCTGAAGCCCCTGATCAGAATGTCTTCTTCTCCCCCATGAGTGTGTTCATGAGCTTGGCCATGCTCTCTATGGGGACTGGATCTCACAGTAAGACACAGATCATGGAGGGCCTGGGCCTCAGCCTCCAGCAAAGCCAAGAGGCCGAGCTCCACAAGGGCTTCCAACATCTGCTGCAGAGGTTCGGTCAACTTAGAGATGGCCTCCAGGTGAGCCTGGGCAGTGCCCTTTTTACAGACCCAGCAGTACATATTCGGGACAACTTCTTGAGTGCCATGAAGACGCTCTACATGGCGGACACTTTCTCTACCAACTTCGGGAACCCTGAAATGGCTAAGAAGCAGATTAATGACTATGTGGCCAAACAGACCAACGGCAAGATTGTAGACTTGATCAAGGAACTCCAGAGCACCAACGTTATGGTGCTGATAAATTACATCTTCTTCAAAGGTAAGCCTCAGGCTCAGACTTTCACCTTCTCTCTTTCCTGCTTTATCGCATGGTAGCATGCCTTCCCCCACAAAAGAACAATTCATCCGCATGCCAGCTGGATGGAAGGGAAGCAACCACAGGTAAGACAGACGGTGATTGATCAGATAGTGACTGGCCCTTGCCATGCCATCATGATGAAACAATAACAATGCTGACACAAGACCCTCTAGAATCAGGAATACGGACTTGATCAGGGTTAAATGGGTAGGGAACGGGAGTCCAGGGCTTCTGAAGGCAAGTGCCTTAGTTACTTTTCTATTGCTATCATGAGACACCATGACCAAGACAACTTAGAAAAGAAAACACTTAAGTGGGGCTTGCTTACACTTTCAGGGGGTGTGTCTATGATCCATTATGGCAGGGCATGGTAGCAGGCAGGCAGGCATGATCCTGGAGCAGTAGCTGAGAACATATATGCCAACTACAAGACAAGCAGGATGCATAAAGAGAAACCCTGGGCCTCGTGTGGGCTTTTGAAACCTCAAAGCCCACTCTCAATGTCGTACTTCCTCTAGTAAAAGCACACATCCTAATCCCCAAGCAGTCCCACTAACAGGGGACCAAGCATTCCAACATGTGAGCCTGTGGGGACCATTTTCCCCCAACCCACATGTCAAGGATTTGGGAATACAGGAGAATAGGCACGTGAAAGGGCCGGGTTGCCCCAGTCGTGAGGGGATTTGGCCTTTGAGGCCCCTAGATGTGGCTGCTGAGGCTCCTGAGGCTCCTCTGCAGAGACACTCTTTGGACTGTCTCCACTGGTCAGGCACAGCCAAGGGTGTCTCATTTCTACCCTGTGATTTCGCTCCTATCCCATGCTCTCACCTTTAGACAAATGGGAGACGCCCTTCAGCGACAAAAACACCCACAAGGAAGATTTCCACGTGACCCCTAAGCAGAGCATGCAAGTGCTCATGATGAACCGTGAAGATGAGTACCTCTACCTCGTGGACCGAGGTATTTCCTGCACCGTGGTGAGGCTCCCTTACCAAGGCAATGCCACAGCCGTGTTCGTTCTCCCCGACGAAGGCAAGATGCAGCAGGTGGAGAGCAGCCTGAGTGAGTGGGCCCTGAAGAACTGGCTGAAGATAGACACGAAGAGGTACTTTCTAAGTCATCCTCCCTCCACGCCTGGGAAGACACGTGACCCAGGCCAGCACAGGGGTGGGAAGTGATGGTGGGAAGAACTCCTCAGGCAGGGAGCTGTCTCCAAACAGAAAGTCTTCCTGTGAAGTCCTCAGCCCAGGACCTGGCCCAGCTTGAGGGATAAAACCTAGAAAAGTGGGGATTCTGGGGTGACACCAGAGTTGTCAGCCCAAGTGCAAGTACAAAGCAGGCACACTCCAGTGGGAATGAAGGTTCCATTATGTCTGTGAGGCCACAGAGAGAGGGCGCTAAGGACATCTCAGCATCTCATGCTGTCTAAGAATACCCTTTACTTTCTCTAGGCGGCTAAGCCTTTACCTCCCCAAGTTCTCCATCGAGGGTACCTACCATCTGGAGAAAATCCTACCCAAGCTGGGCATCAAGGATGTCTTCACCTCCCATGCTGATCTGTCTGGCAT